ATTCCCCACTCCTCCTCCACATGAAGGCTGCTGGGTGGCCTTGGCCCTGTCACACAGTTCTCCCAGGTCTCTCTCAGCCCCACTTACCTCACAAGGGGCCCGTTGTGGGGGAGAGGAAGGGAAGGTGACTGTAATCCACTTTGAGACTACTTAGGGTAGAGAAAAGCGGGGTATAGAGAATCAACTCTTCTTTTCTGAGCAGTATGATATTCTGATTAAACATATCCACAGGTGGTTCTGGCCCAGTCACTGAATTCTGAGATCCAAATATAAGTGAGCCTTAGAAAGAAAAGGAGCTGCGGTGGCTCAAGTGGTTAAGATGCTGAACTGCAGGCTGTGGAAGGTCGGTAGTTCAGCAGTTCGAAACCCGGGTTGCCGCATGACGGAGTGAGCTCCCGTCTCTAGTTCCAGCTCCTGCCAACCTAGCAGTTCAAAAGCAAGAAATTGCAAGTAGACAAATAGGTGCCACTTCAGTGGGAAGGTAACAGCGTTCCGTGCGCCTTGGTGTTTAGTCATGCCAGCCACATGACCACGGAAATGTCTTCGGACAGCGCTGGCTCTTCGGCTTTGAAACAGAGATGAGCACCGCAACCCAAAGTCGGACTCGACTGGCTTTCGAGCAAGGGAACCTTTACCTTTACCTTTTTAAGAACAGCCCTCCTGGATTGGACCCAAGGCCAAGCACGCTGTTTTCAACAGTCAAATGCTGCACACACACACACACACACACACACACATTATATGCTTGGACTTTTTAACTTCCAAGATCTGACGAGATCGGGCTTGCCTGGGCTATCCAGGTCAGGGCGGCCAAATGCTTTTGAGAAATCCACAAACAAAGCTGTTTGTTCCACAGTGGACCAGGTACAGGGCCTTCTTTGTCAGGCCCCTCTCCTTTTTTTGAACAACAACAAAACTCTGCCCCTTGGATAGCCACCCAGCAGGTAAGAAAAGGGGGATCCCGTAGGCTGACTACAACTCTGGGATTAGGGAATTTGTGTCATATGCTGCCCAGAAACACATTGCAACCTTGAAGCATGAAGTATGTTAATGTAACTGCTGGTGGTGGTGGTAGTGGTGGTGGGGCACAGTTGATACTGTAGCCTCTTCATGCCATGATCCATTATACCTATGCGTGACAGCCTATTCTTCTTTTCAGAAGCCACCAGCTTCCAGGACTTGCCCTTTAAAAAAGAATTTGGACAACTAGATTCCAGCACATTAAAAAAAAAGCACTTGAGTTAATGTTGACGGTATCCAGGCATTGCAACAAAGAGTGATTTGTCAGTGATGGGCAGGAATATAGAAAATTGCTCTGGTCATCTGCCCCCCCCCCTTTCCTCTTCTCCTCACGGCAAGAGATGCAATTCTGGCTTCTTGGCTGTGAAGTCCAAATGTGGGCACGTGAGGGAACTGGCTCCCTCCTCAGAAACATCCTAATCCTGGTGTGTAGAGAGGAAACAAACTCAGTTCACTCAGGTGCCTCAATTCACACAGGCTCATTCAGACAGCATGGCTAACAGGAGCTCGGTTCCAGGTTCCCATAACAGGAACTTTTAATTAACTAATTTCATTTTGCAAACGCTATATCCTGCCTTTCCACCCAGTCAGGTTTGTGAGGGGACGAGGAAAGAGGGAGGGGTCAAGCTGTCCATGAAAGCACAACAACAGACTGTGTGTCTCCTTGTCACTGGCAAATACCTGTTTGCACTGAGATCTGAATGCAGCCAACTCAGTGCCAGGAAAAGAGGTAGGTCCACAGTAGGTAAGTAAAAACAGGTATGGTGATCCACTGAAATAAGCAGACCTTTGAGTAATACATACATGACTGTTAAAGGAATGTTACACAGTATGCTACACCAGTTTGGTGTAGTGGGTAAAAGCAGAGGAACCGGGGTTGATTCCCCATTCCTCCAACGTGCAGCCAGCTGGGTGACCTTGGGTCAGTCACAGTTCTCTCAGAGCTGTTCTCTCGTGAGCAGTTCTCTCAGAGCTCTCTCAGCTCCACCTACCTCACAGGGTGTCTGTTGTGAGGAGAGGAAGGAAAGGAGACTCTAAGCCACTCTGAGATTCCGAGTGAAGGGCAGAGTATAAAACCTATTACTGCTGCTGCTGATGCTTCTTCTGAGTTGTTGGCCCCATTTATTTATTTTTTGCTGTCAAGTCACAGCTAACTCAGGGCAACCCCGTAGGCAAGAGACATTCAAGAGGTGGCTTGCCACTGCCTGCCTCTGCATAGCAAACCTCAGTGCTTTCTCATCCTCATTGGTCTCCCATCCAAGTACTAACCAGAGCTGACCCTGCTGATCTCCCAAGATCTGATGAGATTGGGCAAGCCTGGGCTATCCAGGTCAGGGCATGGTGCCCATGGCCAACCATAAACCAAGCGGGATAACTTCTCACCTGCACAAACATTTGCTCTAAAGGTGCCCGATACAAGGACAAACTAACTCTGACCTGTGTACTGTCCCTAGCTCTCCTTTTGCTGGTGTGGGTTGGGCTGCTTGCTTAATTGTGAAGAGAAGTTGACCACAGCCTTCCAGGAAAAGAGGAAACCACTCAGACAAGATAATCAAAGGGGAAGAACAGAAAAATCAGCCAACTCCATGGGGGATCATGCGAAGTGTACTGATTGAAGCATCCACAAGAGGAAAGGCATTTAGCCATTAAGCAAAGCACCTTAGGCTTGACGGTTTCGCACACACCCAGCTCTTAACCTGCTGATCTACCATCCCAGAAAGCAACCAAACAGCTCGCCTCAGGCACCTTGTTGTCTCCTGAAGTATGGGGTTTAGAGAAGGTCGAAAGGGGTGAACGCGCTCCGGGAGAAACATGCCTCAATGTACCTGGCAGTCAAGCCCTTAAAACAAACTAGCAATTTGATAATATGAGAATGATCATTTTAGTATGAAGGAATAGGGGCAAACTGGGGAAATGTCCACAAAAACTGCTGAAAGGTTTCACAGGGCAGATGGGAGATTACTTGGAGCAGAACACTAGAAGAAGTGAAACCCCCTGAGTGGCTCCCAGAACTTGGTCAGGAAGAAAGGAACCAGGGCCCTAAACAGAACCCCTAGACTAGCTGCCCCTGACCCATTAACTGCATATCTTTTTCAGATGGTTTTCACACATCAAGGTGAGAACAAGCGCATTTGCAGATACAGGTATAGGGACATGTTCACACTTGCTCCCAACTATTTTGTGGGCCAGTATAGATGCATCCACAAGAGGAAAGTATAGATGCAGTATAGATGCAGCACCAAAGGGTTCTGAACAGTTCTTGGGTCTGCATCCTCCCTTTCCCTTCACTGGATCAACAGCCCCTGTCTAGTGTCTTTCAAACACTGGTGGAGATACCACCCATCAGTAGCAGAGGTCCATCAGTGGCTATTAGCCACAAGGTATAGATAGGAACTCTCAGTCTGGGGCAAGTGATGCACTGTATTCTTGGTGCTTG